CACACACACACACACACACACACACACACACACACACACACACACACACACACACACACACACACAGACTCACCTTGTCATGATGCACATCAAGAAACTCCCTCACGGCTGCCAGCGCCTCGTGCACCGCCTGTTCGGGTGGATATCCTAAACACAGACACACAATATCAAAAACAATGCACACACTGTTGTGAGAACAGGTGCAGTGGCAGATCTGCATCAGGTTCCTGTCTGTTCTTTTTGTTCCAGACAGGTATGTGTGTTTTTTTATTTTCCTCCAACACTCTGCTCTCAGTTTTCTCACTTCGTCTCATCTCGACTCACCAAACCCAGCGAGATGCAGACGTAACTCACTTGTTGGTAAAGAGCAGACAGGCAGAGCGCAGCTGAGAGCTTTCGCTGCCGGGGGAACGAAAAAAAGCTAATTCGTCACTGGGCCGAGAGCAGCACAAACTGAGAGATTATCCAGTAATTATTCCACGTCAGGTAAAAGGTTCAGCTAAGTTAACGCTACAGATGAGCCAAATGCAAGTTTTTTAGACCTTCTCTAATTTCTGTACAGCCTGACTACCTCTGAGCTCTAAACATTATAATGGAAACTACTTTTCATTGAGTAGCCTAAGGTGCCGACCACCACAAGTGATGGTCGGATGGAGGTAGAGATGGATCAACTGGTTACCCTCAGTAATGAGGGCATTGCTCCGGCAGTCTTGGTGAAGAAAGAAATGAGTCTAAAGGCAAAACTCTCGATTTCCTGGTCTGCTTATGTTCCAACCCTCACCTGTGGTTCTGAGGTTTGGATCATGAGCGAAAGAACGTGATTCTGGATACAGGCGGCTGAAATAACCTTCCTTCATAGAGTGGGCAGGCTCAGCCTTAGAGACGGGGGAGGAGCTCAGAGTAAAGCCGCTGCTCCTCTGCGTTGAAAGGAATTTCTGTATTTATTTGAGTTTTAAAAAGCATAACAAATCTAATCCTCGTGTTTGCTGTGTTTGTTTATGGGGAGGAGCAACATGAGCTTCTTCGTGTCATTTCAGAGAAGCCGGCTGATAAATTAGCAAGATGGACGGCTTCGAGGAGCAGCTCCTGTTGAGCACACAAACACGTCTTCTTTCCATCTCTGTGGCTTTTATATACTGTGTCTATAAAACACTCCTCATCCAACAACACAACACTGTCTTTAAACACCTCATTTAGTGAAGAAAACGACTGTTATTGTTTATATAATTAGCTATGAGCAGTGAGGGAAAATTATAATGATTATCCACCTTGACAAAAATTTCAGCTATAAACAAGAAAATACTGAAACTTATCGTGGCAGTACTTCAACAAAAAAATGTATCAAAATTTACTCTCATATATAATTACCACCCCCCAACTTTATGGATAACTTTTTGGAGTTAAGTCTTTGTATTATACACGCATAAATACGATATGTCCTCTCTGGTCTGGGGATGCCTCGGGGTCCTCCAGCTGGAGTGGGAGGTCTGCTGCCTCCTAGACCCAGCGGTGGATAGAGGAACCTTAAAGTGCCTGTGACATGCATTTTCTTCAATTACAAAAAGTCAAAGAAAACATCTTTATATTTAAGAAAGTTGGAACAATACACACGATTTAACCCATTTTGTCCCATAACTGTTATATTTACTTTTGAACTTGGCTTAATCAAAGTGAAACAGGAAGTGACATCAAAGGGGAACTCTAACAAAGAAAACTCCCTGGTCTTTTTTTATTGAAACAATATCATTTGAACTCTGACTCTTCTTCATCTCTCTGATAGAGACTCAAAATAATCTTAAACATCAGATTCTTCTCTACAGTCTGTGTTGATGGCTGTTGTAGCAACGCTCTGTTCACATGCAGACATTCCCCTTTGACATCACTTCCTGTTACTTCACAGGCAAATATCTCAACAACTGTTCATCTCAGCAACATGAAACTTCTTTTGCAATATTTTATCAATGTCCTCTTTCTAAAAAAAGCATTCATGTTTACAAAAATTTGACATCACAGGCACTTTAAAGTTGTTAGTTTATGGTCTTTTCACTGCATTAAAGTTCTATAATTATATACTTTGCTTTTAATACAGTAACAAAAAGGCAAAATATGCATGTGCAGGTTTACAGATAGTAAATATCTGGTTAGAAAACTAAACCTCTGAGTTGTTTGGTGCAAACTTTGAGCAGAAAATAGCTTTAAATTTTGACCATAGCAGCTCTGTCTTCACCGATTTGAGGTAAATTCTGTTTTTTTAAGTAAAAGAAAGAAAAAAAAACTTTCCCCCAAGCAGTGAGTCTGTGGTTAGACCTTATTTTGTGGGTAGAGACTAAACAAACAATATATATCTTTAAAAAAAATAGCTACATTTTGTGTGATGCAAGATCCAAACAGTGGAGAATTTCTGCAGACGTCTTTCATGTTGAGATAAGATTCACCTTCTTTCTCCGTCGTGTTTTTCTAAAAACACAAAGGCTGCTTTTATTTGCTAAAATTACAGAAGCTTTTATTACGCTGCAAACACCCTGACCTAGAAAACTCCAACAAAGACAGAAAGTGATGAGGAAAAACAGGCTCAACACAGGAAAAAAAAAAGTCTCACGAGGACTTCTGAGTTGTGTATCTGCAGCAGAGAGGTGTCAACCAGACCTCACACCAGAACACCTCCAGGGTGCATTTAAGCACTATCCTTAACACTCTCTTCTACCAGCGTGAAGGGGATTACAGTCAATCTGACACAATCTCCAAACTAATCTATCTTAATCTGCCACTCGTAATCCGAGGCGTTAATCTGTGAACCTCCTGCGGGTTGGAGGAGTTGGAATGTGACGGGGGGGCTTCCAGCGATACTGGAAACAAGCAGGTGATGAAGAACCAAACATTCAAACCAACAACCTAAAACAGGACAAACTGACCGTATATCCCAGTGGAGATGCACGGGAAGGCCTGTAGAAAGATGGACAAAAAAAAAAAAACAATTATTTGTCTTCAAATCACAGAAGAACACCGTTTTATTACACAAACACTGGTACATGTATCTCTGAGGAGACTTGAACACAAAATAAGAGTCTGTTTTATAACTAAAGCCTAAAAACTTTGCGAGGAATGATCCACTGAGTCAATAAGCAGCTTCTTCACACTTAAGGCTCCCACATACTCGGGCGTACTGTGTGCGGTCAATGAGCCGCACATATTGTCCGTGGATGTTGAGACTTCATACTCGAGCGCACTGACTGCCTGACAAATTCTTTAATTTCTCACAATTTCAGTCATGATGTCAAGGACGAGGAGGAAGAGAGAGTTTGCATTTTAGCTTTAAAACAACAAAAGAAAAAAAGAAAAGAACTACCTTACCCGGGATCTGAGCTAGTTCCTCCCACGAATTTATTGCTCACTGAAAATCCTTATATTCCTTCACTGACGCATCATAAAGTTTTCTAATCTCCTCCATGAGACGCTCTTCAAAATTTGACTCCATTTCGTCCACAAATGACACAGATTCTTAAACTTTTCTGTTTGGTGTTGCATTCGAAACAGTTCCGACGTGAACTCGCTGGGCAGTTTATTGTGCGACACCACGGACCAGTCCAGCGGATGGCCGCTTTTGGAGTCCACGCGGACCTCCATGGAGCGAAGTATGCCCGAGTATGTGGGGGGTCTTTAATGTGATCTTAATCAGGATAAACAAAATACACCTCAAACTCTGAGAGACACAACAAGTGGGACCAATATGCAGCTATAGTGTGTTTGTAGAAATGTGCTATTATTCTACAGATCCTGTAGTGGAAAAACAATTCACAGAGCTCAGGTACAGACTTCCGCAATCAATCGTTTACAAAGAAATCCAGCAAAAGTGGTACAGTATTCAGTTTTAGTTTGCTTAAAGTTTTGTCTGCTCTGCAGCTGCAAAGAAAAACTGTTTTTATTCAAACAGCTGTGAAAACTCCCTTCTTTGCCTGTGATACGGCCAGGCAGACGGCAGAGAGGAGAGCTTTAACCACAACATGATTCAACTCTTCCCTGCATAAACTCTGAGACAGACACAAAATAAAATGATAAGTCATGATGTACTTTTCAGTGTTAATCTTATTAAAGAAGGTCATTAAAGATGAACAGTTAATCCAACTGATATAAAGTGTTGTTTTTCTTAAGGAAATGTCTGCAATATAAACGCTAAAGACTGTTTTCAAGCACTTTTCACAGCAGTGCCAACAACTAACGATGATGTAGAACAAAAAGCTAATGAAGCTATTTTCAATAAAACAAAAAACAAAAACAACTGGACTTAGCTGAAAATGTTTCGACTCCCATCTTTCTCAGTTCAGAACTGGAGACTGTGAAGTTCCAAGCTTCTAATCTGTGTTATGTAACCTACTGTAGATTCACATGCAGATTATTTTACAAGCTGCTCACAGTGAAGCTGTCGAGGTCTTTATTTACCCGGCTCACTTCACTGGTTTTAACACCAGCTAAGAAATCTGGATAGCCAAGTATGGTTTGATGTTTCCTCTTATAAATGACGTCTAGAAAGCCTCATTAGAAAAGGCTAAAAATAGGATTCAGACTGATTTTCCAGGTCATCCTTTTAGCAAAACAACTGTCAGGAATCTGAAAATATGCTTAGTTTGGTTTGACCAAATATGACCTAACAAATGACATCGTTTCTTACCTATAAGTAAATTAAAATCTTTTTACCACTCATAAAGAAAAAGCTATTTGTTCCTAAAGCTTTATTAGTTCCAGCTATGAGGATTTATATGTCAAAACGAGTCACATTTAGATTTTACAACCTTTCTAGCTCCAGGTTTTCCTCTGTCCTCGTTCAGCTGCTTTAAAACGCTACATTTAAATCTGATCACTTTTCATTTGAACACAGCAACAACAGGAAACAAGTGGCTCATATTATCAGTTCAGTAAGATGCCTCTGACATGAGTGCAGCTGATCAAAAAATGTATCATTTAGATTTAATTACAAGCAGAGCTTTCATTTTATCTGGTGACTAAGAGCTGCAGATAATTAAAATCCTGCTCCGATGAGTTAACCGTACGGATGAACTGACATCTGGAGGAAATACTTTCAGCATCATCAAAGTGACTCAGGTACACAGGAAGTGATGATGCACACAAACACCAGACATGGTAAGATAAAAAAACAAACAAAAAAAACAAACAGGAATGCCTATTTCCTGCCAATCTTTCATGAGAGTTTTAATTCAAGATGGCCGCTAAAGCCATGTCTCACCTGATGTGTCAGTACTCTCATCTACTACCACAAACACTGCACCTCACTAGTAGTTTAGAGTAAGTTATGGAAATGAAAATGCTGGCCACATTTAGCTGTGGCTGTAGAGTTAAACAACACTAGAGTGAACTCTGTCGATCCTGTCCACTGTTAGCATCATGGAGGAGCAAAGATGGCGACCAAAACAGGGCGTCGGCTCACGGACGACAAAAAAAAAATAAAAATAAAAATAAAACTATTTAATTATCAACCCCAACTGGATCATGTCACTAATTATTTGTAATCTTTTTACAATAAATTTATGTAAATGTTAATTATGTTTATTTCATTCAACAGTCACGTAAAACAGCAGATGATATACAAGAAAATTATAGCATTTATAAGTAACAATGACCTAAACCAGACCTGAAGTCAGTCAACAAGTTAGACTTTTTATGTAGTTGAATAATTGAGTTCAGCTAGTAATAAAATATATTTACCTGTCATAAACAATATTAATATTTACCAGTCAACACTTATAAAATGTTCTCTACATACCTAATGATACTTTAGAATGAAAATTGTCTTTATTGATATTGACTAACCATCTTCTCATCAGTTCAGGTTTGTCTAATAGAAACCTAAAAATAGCTACAAATATAATATAGAGTTAAAAGTCACAGGTCACCCTTTGATCTTGGTCCAAGACGGTGGCCATGTTCTGGACACAGCCTCACTCATAATTTACAGGAATATTCAGATTTGTCATTTTCCCTTTTCTTTGTGAAATAAAAGGCTGTCCTGAGACTTTTGACTCACACTGTGTAACAGAAGCCTGCAGAACCCACAGGTTGTGATGAGAACCGAGCTGCCAGAAAACCTGAATCCTGGCAGATTTCCGGCCTGCTGTCAGATCTGGCAGCCCCGGCAGATGTCAGGACGCTCGCCCTCTGTCCCGCTCACGTCACTTAACCTGACTGCTGGCAGATGTGACTCAGCAGTCCCTCAACGCTGAAGATAAACACACGACTCTGGAGGATCTGCAGAAGTGACTGTTCTGTTCGACAGCTGTTTAAGAAACATGATGTCGTCGACACCAGAGACAAACTGAAGTCTCTTCCACCAATCCTCCGTCAACCTGTTTGTTTGTTTTATCTGTATTTCTGTGGTGTTTCTCTCTGAAACCTGCAGCCTGATGTGTTTTTATTCGTCCTGCCCTCAGTTCAACACTCCCCCTCTCCATCGATCTCAGCCTGAATGCTGTTTTCTTCGAAAAGTCCACATGTGATCAATCTTTTTCTCTTTAGCTGAGTTTTTATTATTATTTTTTCTGTAGCTATAGAATCTGGTCACACTCGCTCTTTTTCTTTTTGTGATCACAGTCTTCAATGCAGCACTTATTTTGTCATTCTCTACTTTATAAAACTGATCGTTCATCTTGTCCGTCTGTTCTCACCACAGAGCGAGCGGCGTTGTCTGCGGCGGCTTGCAGGCTGTTTCTGTAGCAGGACCTGAGCGCGTTCCTCTCAGTCTCTCCAACTCCTCCCTGAGCGATCGGCCCGACGGTGTGGATCACATCTGGAGAATGAAAATGAGACAAGATGCCACTTTATAAAAGGAAAAGTGGTTATGTTAAACATTTAACATTTTGGATAAACATAAAAAGTCAATGCATGTTACCCATGGGGATATAAAAACAAAACTGTGTGTGTGTGTGTGTGTGTGTGTGTGTGTGTGTGTGTGTGTGTGTGTGTGTGTGTGTGT